CAGACATCATAAAGATGATTTCCGAGTTGTATGGATCCACATATGGCTTTAACTAATAAATCTGGTAAAGGTTGTTGTAGACTACAAGGTGGAAGTGGTACATTTCCTTTACTCATGACATAGCCAATAATTAATGATATGACACTACATGCGCTACTTCCATTTCTCCCATTATAGCAACCTTGACTGATTTCTTCAGGAAACCACCAGCAGTACACTCCATTTGCTGGAGATTCAACATTAACGTGAAAATCACAAGCTAGTGAAACATCTTTTACGGAATGTAAAACTACATGCTTGTCAACTTCCAAATCCTCTTCCGCCTCTTGGTCACTTTCCTCTTCTTCACTTTCTGAAGCAAGAAGCTCTTCCTCATCAGGACTTGGCATATCCCGGAATTGTTCCAAGTCTATACCCAGTACTGGAGCAAAGGCTTGAAGGCCAGTTGCAATTTGATGCATAGCAGAACTTATGCCTTCCAAGGTGAGGGCCTTCTTTCCCTCTAGAATGCTGAGCGCTGCCATTGGAGATTCATACCAATTCTGAGGACAGGATGCAAAAGGCCATTAGAAATAATAACTTTATGATTTGTCATGAACTACATGCCTCATATGCAACTGAAGCATCTGAAGACTTGCATTTTGAAAGGGACTGCAGCTTATAAATAAACCACAAAATAATWTATTTCTGTCTTTCCAGACTAAGAAGTATTGTGTGACTTCAACGTATATAGTACATATATGTCTCTTGTACAACATATTACAGTACCTTTGACTTGCTACATACAGAGGCAGTTACTGGAAAATCAACATTCTCTAGAAATGAAAAGAGCAATGATTGCAATTATTGAACATAAACAAATTTAGAAAATCATGAGAAATAATACATAGCTCCTTGTTCATTATATACCTGGTGAATGCAAAAGTGTTTGAAGAGATGCTTAAAGACTAAAGTGCATGCAAGAATGAATGAATATCATGGAAGTGATTTTACGTAGAATTACCTTTGTATTGCTTGATGGAGGCATCTAAGTCTAGAAGTTGTTGTCTGAGAGCAGTCAGCTTGTAGTTAGTGTAAAATTTCATGTAGCTGAACATCTCTTTCTTCAACAAAACAAGTTCTTCTCTAAAACGATCAACCTCCATGTATTTATCAACCACCAATCGCTTGGTTTGAACAGGCACTGCATCTGAACAAAAATAGTTTCATTGGTCCATGGATGTATAACTTTATAACTCATTACGCATTGTTACCGTGAGGGCAACACAACCAAGAAAGAAAACTTGACAATTTAGCAAACAACAACATGTCAGCTTTCAATTACTGTAAAATCACAAGGATCAATTGCTCTTTGATCACTTAATTCTGTTATCCAATCTCAGTTTAGTTTTTCTGATTTCTGGTTAAGTTTAATCAATTGGAAAGTGGTCCTAGTTTGTGTCCTCACTGTAGATGACTTTGCATATAATATTAATGTACCCTTGANCTGAGCTTGTTTCTTTGTTTTGACGAATCTTTCAAAAACAGAAGAAATATTGTACCATACAAAAACATCTGCACAACCGATTTGTTATCACAAGATAACTTGTGACAACCATCAGAAGATGCTCTCTGATGCTATCAAATAACAAAAGACTATTCACACATAAGTATATTTGTTCTGTTTTTAGTCTTCTGTTTTTTAGTCTTTTTTCAATAATTGCAAAAATTCTATAAATAATCTAAACATAATAACACTACAATCAAATAACACATCTATTGCACTTTACCAGCAAGCTTTCCCATATTTGTTGAAATAACAGAGATTGCATTGTGACAGTTTTCAATTGACTTCTGTAGGAAGCTTTCTATCTTATTTTTCAGGGTYGATTCTCCTTCAACACTCTCAGGACAATGCTTGGGTGATATGGAGCTTATTTTCTTTACTCCAAAAACTCTCTCGGAAGCTGCAAGGAGACTACTATATGAAGAAGGTCTTGGTTGAAAGCTGGAAATATGACCTAGCCATGACTCTTCAACTGGAGACAAAGATATGCCTTTTCGTGAGCCCAACTTCTCTGCATCTAAGTAATGGCAAAGTGCATCAAGAAATAAAATATGAGTGTGATAGAACAGAAGAAAAGGCACTACATTTCCTTATATCATTTCCATCTTGAATACAAGTTACCATAATCATACCTCTTGCTATGTCAAGGACCTCTTCTTTCCATTGATCTTTATTTATGGTACAGTTCAGGCCTTCTGTTGTTTTTTTTACTTCTTCAATTGCTTTTTCCAGTTTTGTCTCAATCTAAAAAGGCAAAAACCATACACTGCTCTTTGTAAATTAACCTAGTACATGATTGAACTGAAAACACTTTACCTTTTTATAGCGCTGTASAAGAGAAGATGCTTGAATATTAATCTTTCTCCTATTCCAATGAATTGCATGCTCTGTAAGAAGCTCGTCTCGACCTGAAAAATGAAGGGTAAAATGACCATTACAGCCAGGCTGCTTATAACTTACATTGCAACTCCCCAGTCAGCACTAATATGGCTACACAGCATTAAATTAACAAATTAAACTGTATGGCATCCCTGTTATGTGCACATACACATTGTTTTATRCATACTACATTAATTATCATAAGAGAAGAATAAATTGTCATAATTTGCAAGGAATTCATATTAATTGAATTTGTTGATAAATGATTTACATGTACCTGTATCTATCTATCTTAAGACTGAATAAACTAACCTTCAGGCAGCATATGCTTTGTGGTTGATCCCAATTTGGAGAAATGGCTATTTATTTGCTCCACTTCCTCACCAGTTGTGCCACATGCTCCAGGCTGCCATCTGCCACCCCACAATGACTAAAGTAAATATGGAAATGCAGTCTAAGTTATTCATATCATCATCTGCAACTTTTTAGATTTAAATACACAATATATATCTCCACTTATCAATATTTCAAGAAAGTAGCAAACAGAAACAATTACATGATACAAATGCATGTACTTAGAGTACCTGGCATGTCCATGAATGTGCCTTAGCATGCATGACAGACAATGCAGGCTTCATTTTGTCAGCATTCAACTTGTCATGTTTTTGAAGCCAAGGCCAATATTTGCACACTACATCATACCAAAAAAAATTGACATTCAATGGAATGAAATAATTGGTTTGAAGATAGTGTGCATAGCCATAGACTTCACCATGAAACATGTTGACTGCTTTCTGAGCCAATGCATGTCTGCATCCAGCTATTTCCAGGCCAGTCTCCACTACATTCTTTTTCTTGTGCAGTGAATTTCCAGCTGCCCTCCAGCTGGTCTCACCACACTTGTTATCATCTTGAGAGATCTGTATTAAAAACAAAAAAACAACAATGTGAAATCATTGCACATATAGTTACATGTACGTGTATGTATGAAATAGTAAACATTTTAAAATACTTGGTATTAAAAGCTATCATAAAACATGTGATAAGATGTACCTTCTGTTTTGCACCCTTGTACATTTTTTGGATGTGCTTGTCCACTTCTTCACTTGGAGCAATAAAAGCACCCTTGTAATAGCATTCTCTTTTTTGCCTGTTAAGTATATAATATAGATGATACATTTTTATTTCTTCATAACATGAGACATATCTATATTCTAACTCACAATCCAGCTGATTTAAATCTGTACAGCTTCATATTTCCATCAACATGAACTGAATGCTGTTCCTCATAACAAGCTGGGCACTTAAGCCAGTCATGATTGCGGATGACATCTAATTCATATTGACAGAACTTCCATTCTTTGAAAGCATTAGAGAATGCTGTCTTATTTATTACTCCAACCTACCAAGGCAAAAACATGAATTTAGAATACAATAACATACTTTTAAATAAATGACTGCAAAATCTATATGTTGCATATATCTTTACACATTTGCAATATTTAAATGTGGTGTGATACAAATGCTAAAATCCAGCTTCTACAATATGTACTGAAAAAGTTATTATTAATACATAATTAATTTACAACACGACTTTTTTTCCTTACACGTCCTTTTTTCAAGCTAAATTGCTCCAATGATTTTAAAAAGGAACCTTCTGATACACCAGGAGTGAAGGACTTGAGATCATGCCAGAATTCAAACAGGTTTGTATCAAAAATGTAAGTTACATTCTGGGAACTTCCTGGCCAGTAACCAAGTTGCACAACAACTGATGGAGAGGAACTGAGATAGTGTTTTTTACATGCTGAACATTCAAAGGTAGCATGCTGAACATCAAATCTCCCTATGATTAAACATCATACACTTAAAATTAGGAATGGCGTTAAATAAAACATGTATATTTATTAAATCTGTATACTATTATACACCAAACACAAAAMATTCTGCTCCCTAATATACACCTAACCAAAAAAATTCTGCAACTTTCAATATATATATGTCTATTGTTTCCCTATTGTTTAATCTCTCAAGAACAAAAGACATATATATATTAAAAGTTGCAGAATTTTTTTGGTTAGGTGTATATGTTGGGTATATATATATATATATACATCCTTTATTATAGTCTTTGTTTTACCATCCCACGGGAGAGAATACAAAGGATATATATATATATATATATATATTATGTTATTAGGGAGCAGACTTTTTGTGTTTTGGTGTACATGTATAATATCTTCTTGAGATACATGTAAATATCTTAATATACAACAAAACACCAGAATTCTACCCCCTTATAATAAATATAAAGCAATATTGATCATTGGAATTAAAAAAAAACTAGCAAAATACCTTTAACAGAAACAAATATAGCATGGCTATCAATACCACTGTCGACAGAACAACACACCATGTTACAATCTGGACATGTAATAGTGATTCCAGGAATTGTCTGTTCTACAAACAAAGTGAAAGAAAATCCATTTAAACACTATAAAAATAATACATCAAACACAGAGAAAATGTACAGTTTACCATTTCACAATACTGCAATATTATATTCATGAAAATACAATTATATAAATCACTTTTGAATTATACAATTATGATATGAATAGAAGAATACTTACTGATATTGACTAGATTAGTGCATGTTGAATCAAACACAGCATTGGGAGGGATGGCTTGGAATATCCCATTTATGGCTCCCTGTCTATCATGAAGTGGATGTTTTGTGTGGACAGTGATGTCACAGCTTACACACAGATGTTTTGTCTTATAACAATCTTCACACCTGATGATTGCCTCTCCAACCCCACACAATTCACAAGATAATTTTCGAACTGCACAATTTCTAATAGCATTATGTAGCAGATCTGGGCGCAGGCTTTCCCAGTTGTCAATGCTCTTCTGTATTCGTACTTCCCATTTTTGTGAAGATTTGGGTTTGCTTGCCGTCCAATCGGCAAGAAGTTCTTTTGCATCATCAAGAACACTAGTGATTTCTCCTATGGTAAGACAAATACACTGTAAATGCATGGAACATTTACATGTATATAAATTTCACATATACATCTGCAGTGCAGATATGGGGAAGATGATTTTAAATACAAGCCTTTTAGTACACAGTTTTTCTTTACCACTAGGGTTTGACTATCAAAAAACCCTTTGCAAGATAAAGTGAATGAAAAGTGAAGCAGCACATTTTAAGTGAGGAGCTGTTACCCTTTTACCAAAGATCTAATTCTATAAAATCATTCTGACATTGAATGACAAAAATACTGCTTAGAAACATCACTTCTACCAAAAGCATATGGAAAACAACAATAGAAATTTATTAATTAAATAATTATATCTGGTTTCTTTTACCTGTACTAGACCTTAAGTCATMATCTATATCCAGAGAATATAGCTCATCTTTGCAATCGATAGAATCTAACGCGGATACATATAATTAGTCCAGAAATTAAGAGTAAATATACGTATTTCTCACACACCACTGGAAGCTATTGTCCAGCTGACCGCCACGAAAAAGCAACATCAAAATCAATATGTGCATTACTTACCTTTTTGTGCAAGATATCTTTCCTTTGAATAAGTCCCTTTGTTGTTCCTTTTTCCAGTAACAGGGTCAGTGCTAAACTGAAACAGTGAAGGCTTCTTCTTCTTACTTTTAGCATCTAACAATGCCTGTGCTTCACGTAACAGTGACTCTCTACTTTGACTCTTTGCCCTTTTTCGTCTAGAGGCTAAGAAAAATATTTGCGTGCAGCAAGTCTACGGTGTATTCAAGTGTAAAATGTAAGTTACTACTTGAAATTGATGAAAGTACCCATTTCAAGTGTTTATAAGTTAAGTAACAAGAAAAACTTACCATTATTACTGGCCATTATAATATTATGAAGCTAAAATCGCCGGTTTTAAATGAAGGCCTGAAGTTTTCTTGTTAAAATCTTGTTGCCTAAAACCTGCTATAAGTAAGAATAACTCGAAAGCACACGAATGAAGTACGAAGCGATTGTGCTTAAATGACAACCTTACCTGATTTATATATAAGCTTATGCTTTGTCGAGTTGCACAATATCTATATTTCCTTACCTTATAAGCTTATCTTAGTACCTTACACTTTCTCAAATATTTGGACACGGAAACTCTTGAGCAAGAGAACAAGAATTCTTTTCATTCCATGGCGTCTTCATTGTTAGAAAAGTTGAGCAATTGCCTTGCCTTATTTACGTTTGGGATTATCAAATTTCACCATTTGCTACATGTGAAAATGAAAACTAAACTCATTCGATCAAAATGTACGAGTTCAAGAACTGAGAAAGTTCAACAGAAATTAATAAAACGGCATATTCGAGTAGGTACATTTTGAAGAAATATTTCCCCATCGTCCGCCATTTTGAATTTTGGATCGTCATGCGAATAAACTGTTGCCCATGTTCTCTCGGTTGTACTAATGGTGCATGGGAATAACGATTATCCATATTGCCAGGCCTTGTGACATTTTATGATAATCCTAAACGAGTCTCCGAGACCAAGTTGCCTGGGTTCGAGCCCCAGAGGAACCACTGTTAACTTTTTTTTCATACAAAATGTATTCCAAACTCTCTTTTATAACTGTTTTTCCTTTTTTTTCGCAACAGATTTACTATTTATTCATTTTTATGAATTTTTCAAACATAATCAGGGATAATTATTAAATGCTACTTTTTAAATTCTCTTTTTAATTCGATTCGTTWTATCATTTCATACTACCTCAATTTTAAAAGAGATTAATCCTGGTACGATAAATGAACTAATGATAATATCTAATATTAGAAGATTTAGTGAAATTGGGAAAAAGCTATTTGGGTTGACACAGGGATCCCAACGCACGACATTTCAGTATAAACTAGGAGCCCCCAAGAAAAACCGACTACCAGCTTGTCCAAGGATTTAAGCTGAATTCTTGTCATCATCGAATTTTTTTACTTGTAATCACTATGTTTTAGATGAAAACAAATCTTGTGTGTCTTACGTGTCCATGGCAACTTTTCTTTGCTTAACCTTTATCATTGTCCGACTTCAGCTAATTACATTTTTGGAAAACTCCCAAGAGACTTAAAACATGGCGTTTGATTGTTAACTACGATATTAATTACAAAATAGAGATTAACTATTGATCTAAATTTTATTAATAGAGTAAAAAATCTTTTGTGTTTTCATTGTTTGCGATTTAGAAGTTGACAAACTGATCACTTTGCGAGKGTAAACACGTTTCTACTGTTTAAAGTGTATTTGCGCAAACAAGGCTGTTTCATGATAAAGAAACTGAGTGATTTTGGTAAACATATGGTTTGCTAACGTTGAAAAGACGCAGTACAAATGGCTATTAAGTATAAGAAAACTTCGTTTGCAACAGGAAATGATCCTTTCCTCAGTCGTAAGAGTGGAGTTAGTCTAGTGAACTTCAACTTGCATGGACTGCCGCAAAAACATACTCCTACATCAGAAACCAAGGATGTTAGTTTGGAGAGAGCACCACCTTCACCTTCTAAGCTACATAGGAAGCTCAGTTGYATTTCAAGATCAGATAGTCTAAGTGCAAAACTAAAGAAGTCGGAGCGCTTTGATTATGAAATCATCTCTGTTAAAGAGGAATCAATGCCGGAAAACGAAGAARATGGCGAATACAACGAAGATACAAATTTGGTTAAGCAACAAGATTTAAAGCCAATGGAAAGCCCTGTGCCATCTCTGGGACTTGCTAAGCGTAAGTTCACTTTATGCGTCGAGTCTGAAGAAAGAAATTTAGAAAGTCGTGGCTTTTTACCGCGATTTAGAGTGAATCCAAACTCTAGGTATTGTGACAGAGCACTTTTCATGAACAGCTCTGGCGTTGCGAAACATTTCTGTGACATCCTTGGACCAGGGATGTGCTCGGACTGCACTAG